AAACCAAGAGCTCTGCTCATGTGGTGCCCAGGTGTGCCCTGGGCACCTGCGTCGACAGCCACCTTGCCAAGGAATATTCTGCACACGGTGCCAGACTTCCAATGTAATTCATCAAGAAAACTGCCACAGTTCCCTCCAAAATACTTACCCTAGACATCAGGTTAAGGGAAGTTGTATGGGCTTTTCTCGTTGTTGTCATGGCAATCGTCAACTGTCATGGCACCGCTGGGTGTGCCACTCAGCATGCTGATACATTATAATGAGCGTACAATGAGGCTCAAGGTCCACTGGAAGTCAAACCCACCACCATCTTGGGCTCCACTGGTTCTAACCAGTTCTTGTTTCTTCTCTGCAGCTGCCTCCTGAGACTTAGATTAAGAATATTTGGTTTCTATTCGAGGGAGGGGCAGGGGTATGATCCTAAGGGCAACAGCCTGGGCAGCAAAAAGAAAAGTTGCTTTTAATTAGAATGCCTGCAGTCTGGTGGACCCAGCATCCCCCCCTAAAAAGAAACATTTTCAAAGATTCTGTTCAGCCCTGAAAGTTCTAAAGGGAGATGGGGGAGCAACTGCATTAACCACTGGTAGGTGATGAGAGCCCTTGCCTTCCCCCAGTGCCTGCAGGCTTGTCCTCATCAACTGCTGGAGCCTGCTCTTCTTCTGGGACTCGGGGAGGCCTGGGAGACTTCAGCTTTTCTATAAACAGGAGGCCGGGGTTGGCTGGGGCAGATCGGGGGAGCCCACAGGGTCCTGCTCGTTATCACAGCCTAAGTTACTTTCTTTAAAAGCTGCCAAATGCAGCTCCACAAATTTCTCAGTAACGTTGCAAACATGAACTCATTCACAGAAAATGTCTTTACTTCTAACCTAGGTTTGCCGTGCTCTAATTCCACCCAGTTTATTATTTTTTAGTAAAGCTGGAGAACCGCTAATCATGGAGGGTCATTTATCAATTAAAGTTTAACATTTGAATAGCTTGAAAAGATTAAATACCTCCTCTCCCCTTAGATATTTTTTTTAATGAAATGTCCTTTATTATAATACTTTTGTCAACTGAATAAAAATGCACAACCTTAAAGTTAAGAATTATGTTTTGTTCTCAAGTTAATGAATTTAGCTCTTTCCTTTGTGTGGGAAGATGCAAGAATCAGGGCTCATTTAAACCATTCCTTTGATATGCACCTTAGCTATCCTGGGACAGTATCGGTTCTTTCCCCTCAGGGTGCACCGTTAGGGGTGGCTGCAGTGGCTGATGGCTTGGCAGCCAGCAACCCATTGGTCTCCATCCTCCACCACAGAGGGGAAGGGGCAGCTGTAGAGGCTTGATGGCTGCAGCATCCTTTGGTTACTGACATGGCAGGCAACATTTTTCATTCACACTTTTATAAACGCAAATCAGTCAATTCTGTTCTTGGTCACTTCCCGTGATAATTATAAGATGTAATGCCTTCCCTTATGATTGTAAATCTTTTTGACGCTCAGCTGAAATTTCCCCAATAAAAAGGCTGCAAACATGCTAGTTATTGTTGGTGGTCACACTATTACATAATATTGAATGATGTCACCAATTGCCAAAAATTATCATTATGTTTATTGCAAAGAGTACATCTCTTATGGACTGAATTGTGTCTCCCTCACAAATAAAAAAAAAGATATTTGAACTCCTAATTCCCAGCACCTCAGAATATGACCTTATTTGGAAATAGGGCCTTTGCAGATATGATTAGTTAAAATGAGGTCATACTGGAGTAGAGACCTCATACGAACGTGACCAGGTGACACAAGAAGAACATCATATGAACATGGAAGTAGACACTGGAATTGTACAGGAGCAAGCCAAGGAACACCAGAGATTGGCAGACAGCACCAGAAGCTAGGAAGAGGAAAGGGAGGATTTACCGAGTCTCAGAGCAAGACAAACCGAGCAGGACCATGTGGGGCAGTCCCCGTACAAACCTGTTCCCTGTTCCCTGTTCCCTGTTTCTGGTTTGTAGGAAAAAGGCTTCAGCCTCCTACGACCTCCTCTGAGTTCCGAAGGGCAGATTCAAACAACTGCTAGCAGAGTCAGGGGAATACAGAAACAAAGGAGGAGCAGTTGAGAAACAAAAGTGCAGCCCTGGGGCAGGGACCTGGTTCTTCCAGAAGAAATATACATAACAGTATCTTTGAGTTCCTCTGCCAGAACTAAAGCCCCCACCCAGGTGGAGGATGGTAACTTCAGGCTGAGCACAGGCGTCCTGGAGCATCAACAACCGATCAGAAGGAAGTCACAAACCCCGTTGCCCTCAACTCAAATTGTGCCCGTAAAAACTACCCCCCTCAAGCCACTGGGGAGTTCGGAGTTTTTGAGCACAAGCCACCCGTTCTCTTGCTTGGCCCTGCAGTAAAACTTTCTCTGCTCCAAACTCTTTTCATTGCATTCATTTTTGTTTTCAGCATTCAGAAGATGGTTAACCGCATCCATCCTTATTTTCAAGAGATTCAAGTGCAGTTGGCTGATACAACCTCACTCACAAGACTAAAATTTGTTCCGTCGTATCCCCATATAGGTGTGGTAACAAACTGGTTGGCAAAAGCAACTAGATTAGCTTGGCCTTAAACCTGGGCTGTGGATATTGAATAACTTTTGAAAGTTATCATAGCAAACTTGTTCTATGTTCTTTCTGCCAGACTATTTTGTTTTAAATTTTTTTATCCTAAAAAAAAAAACCTGGAATTATTTTTTAAAGTGTGATCTTTGCTCTTTTTATATTTGTTTTCAAATTTTGAAATTTGTATGTGACTAAGGTTGTACCAAAGGCAAGACAATTTGTGATCTCTTGAATGCTAAAATGCATCATGATAATGTTCACTTATTGCTCATAATTTTCTAATTCTGTCATGACTTCAAACTGCTTTCTGTTGACTATTTTTTATTGGTTTTTCAAAGACTAAACTAGCGAAATGCTATAGAACCCCAAGATGATAAAAATTAAGCTGACTAAATTCTGCATTAAATTCCGAGTTTTTATTTACTTAAATCATGGAATACGATCTCCTATATGACATTTACACGAGAATGCCAAAGAAGCTAGTACACGGTCTGCTTTAGTATTTGTGTTCACTTAAAGAAAACTTAAGAAGTTCTCAAAGGCCTGTTTCCTTCCAGAAGTGCTCTTTGTCTGGGATTTCAGCTGATCTCAATAAGGGTCACATATCTCCATCTTGTGGCCCAGTCGTAAAATTCCCACGATTTTTTTTCAAGATGTTCTAATTTTGTATTCAGTCTTTTAATGAATACCATAATCATATTGAAAATTTGTTTCTTAAGATTCATGTAAAAATGAATGTACTCAAATCATTAGTGGTCTTTAGAAAGTTAAGCACTGTCTCATCTGTTTCTAAAAGTCACTAACAGTCATGAAACACAAATCCACTCTTATGGCCAGTGAAAATGTCATTTTCCCCTATTCCCCTAAAGAGAAAAAGGAGTTTCTTTTGAATTTGATTTTTTTCCTAGTATCATTTCACAGTGATGTACGCACAGCCCTTTTCAAAATTCCATTTTATCAGCCTATGATTAAGTATTTAGTAAGGAACAAGATCAAAAGACTTGTTTAAACCCAAGATATGTTACCTCTTTTGCTTTCTCAGTTTACCAAATTCATTCCTTTGTGACAGAAATATTTTTATTTTAGATTGCTTTGCCCAATTTTCTTCCTTAAGAATCAATACTGGTATTTATTTCAACTTGTGTAAAATTAGGATTATGAGAGCTTTTTTCCTAGTAGCTTTAGAATACTTGTGAAATCTGCAAGTATATAATTTTAGTGTTCTTTATTATTTAACTCAATTTATAATGGATTTTTTAAAAAGTCGTTAAACATCTCTCTCCATTCTGCCCTCCATAATCACGGCTCTGTACTAACTCCAGCTCTGCTCCCAAACCATTCTGACCTCTTCAGAACGACAGCTTGGACTTACATTTGTTTTAAAAATTAAAATTTAATCAACACTATCTTTGAACAGAATCTTTGATTTGGTTTGATTTTAAATTCAACCATCTAATTAAAAAAAGCAATCTCCTGTTAATGTACATGTGCTTGAAATTAAGTGTTGGGGAGTTTATTGTCTAACGGTGTTCCTGATTACACGTTGTGTATCATGGCTCAATTCTTAATGTTGCTATGTTAATATTCATGAAGACTTTCATATAATGCTAACTTTTTATGCTATCAATTATTCTTATTTGACATTCATTTTGTATATGAGATGTCCCATCTGGGTTTCTTAGCATCATTGTAAGTGATTTGGGATAGAGTTGATATAACTATGATTACTTAACTCTCCATCGCTTTATAGTAAAAGAACAATCTTGCCATCATTGTTAACGTACGTATATTAAATGCCTCAGGAATTATAACCTTGCATTTTGGGATCATTCTTTGGATTCACATTGTGAAGGAAAAGCCCACCTGGGCTAACAAGCTAAGCCACAAATCTAAGTGTAACAAGTGTCGGATTACTGATCTGAGTTCTGCTGGGCTAACTCGTAAATCTGGTTTAGTGTCAGTTTACTGGGCTAACAAGCTAACTCGTAAATCCAAGCTCAACAAGTGTCAGTAACGTGATCTGTTCCGAATTGATAAGCTTCAGTGTACTGATTCCTTGCTTTTTGTTGTTTGAGCCTTATTGGCTAATAGCCCATACTTGTAATTAACCCTGTAAAACCTCATGTGCACGTCTTGGAGGTGCTCAGAGCTTCGGAGCAGAAGCCCCTCTGAGCCCGCCGGCGTAATACATCTGAGTACTCCAACCCTCTGAGTGGTGCTTGATTCTTGGCTGGCCTGTCTTTTCTGTAACAACATGAAGCACGCTCTCTAGTGTGTCCATTGTCCAGTAAAATTCCTACTTTGGAGGAATGAGAAAAATAATATCCTTGATTAAAAGAACAAGGAATTGTTTTACAGAACGATAAAATATCACTGTAACCGAAAAGTAAATGTCCCTTCTCTGTTTCAGAGGCGAGCGGCTGATAATTTAAGAAGACATCACCAATATCAAGTAAGTTATTCTTCTGTCTTGAAACTTGCATTAAAATAAAGCACAATCTCGTCTTTAGAACTGACTCAAGAGAGAAGTCATATTTATTCACTGAAAATCAATTTTGTTGTTTTTAAATGCCTCAGGAAGTTATGAGGAACCTGGTGAAGCGGTATGTCGCCGCTATGATTAGAGACGCCAAAACTGAAGAAGGCCTGACTGAGGAGAACTTTAAGGTAACCACCTCCATCTTCATCACTGAGATGCAGATTCCACTGAGCATGGAACCGGGAACAGCACACTAAAAGTCTGAGCTAGCCGTGTGTTCCATCTGTCTTCTGATTTTTAAATTAAAGCCCTACTGAATTATCAAAAAAAACAAAAGTGGTGAAATTTCTTTGCAAAGTGCATTGTTTTCAAACATACTTAATTTGAAAGAAGGAGGGGGCCCGTCTGGAGGCAGAGAAAAATCCTAGTGCCTGTGGCATTCTGATTGCTGATCCCGGCCACACTCTACTGAGGAAGCTTTAGCTCTTAAACTTTCAGTCTGATTTAGTAACCAAGGTGCTGAAAACAATGACAACAAAAACCTTCTTTCTGTTCTGCATGGCTTTGGTAGCAAGAAATTTAAAGTTTGAGCTTATCTGTAACTTTAAATATAGTTTTTCTCCCTGCGGTTTTTTTTTTTTTTAAATTCTATCAGAGAAGACAGGTGGAATACCTGAAATATACATTTGCTCATATCATGTGTGTAAAATACCCTTGTTATTCTGCATGAGTCTTTAGAGATTTTGGAAGATTGACTGAAGTCAATAAGATCTTAGACGCAAAAACAGGCAAATGAAATACCTTACTGGAGACTTTTGACAAAGAAAAACAGCAGGCTTGACAGAATAAATATAAGCAGCGAATTAGGTAAAAAGAGATAAATTGCAAAACTAAAAGCACAGACTGAAAGGTGGCTAGGATCCAAAATGTTCTTTGGGGCCACAACATCCAAATTTTGGCATTAAATGATTCATGGTGCTTTGGGAGACGGGTTAGAGGCAGAAGGCCACCTCAAAGGCCACTGTCAGGTTAGGACTGAGAATTCAGTTGTCCAGAAAGATAAAGGGATGGATGTAGGAAATGCTGTCTGTTCTGCATCAATTCCCATGGGGTAGGGGCAGACCCAGATGTTGGGATAAAATCAACTCCAGGATAGTAAACAATTGAAAGTAACTGCCAACTCTTGGAAGGGCAGATTCCACTTTCACTATTTTGTTTTAGGCATTCCTTTGGACAGCAAAGTGTGCCAATATTTAAAAAAAAAAATCTCTAAAAAAATGCATCCCTGAGAGACTTAAATGACTTGAAAGCAGATGAATATTTTGGAGAGAAAGGATGTGAAATAGTCGGCCGAAAGACACCCAACAAGGGAAGGGGTGGGTATAGCTCAGTAGTAGAGTGCAGGCTTATCATGCAGGAGGTCCTAGGTTCAATCCCCAGTACCTCCATTATAAATAAATAATAAAAAAAACCTTAATTACCTCCCCCTGCCACCCCCTCCTCCCAAAAGCTTAAGAAAATAGACACATTCACTTAAAAAAAGACCAACAACAAAGAAACCAACAGACTCCACTACACAGTGGTGGAAAAGAAAATTCTTCCTGGTTCTTTTGACATCAACCCTAGGAAGTCCCTTGTCACTACAGAACTCCAACAGAGAAATGATACAAGTACCAGTGAGAGAATTGACAGTTCTCAACAGAAACCCCAGCAGGGTGGAATCCTAGCTCTCAGAAGTGGGTGAAGACAGGTCAGACCCATAATATGAAAGGAGCACATGATGTTTCCTAATGTTTATTCATTTAGGTCACAAGCTAATTTTGTCTTTTTTTTTTTTTCCACTTAGGAACTCAAACAAGACATTTCTAGTTTCCGCTTTGAGGTCCTGGGCTTACTAAGAGGAAGCAAACTCTCCACGGTACAGTCTGCTCAGGGCATGAAGGAGTCTTCTAACTCCGTCGACTCCGATGAGAGGAGTGACAACGAAGGCAGCAGCAAGGACAAGAAAAAGAACTTCAGCCTCTTCGACTTAACCACCCTGATTCACCCGCGATCGGCCGCCATCGCCTCCGAGAGACACATGAGCAATGGCTCGGCGCTCGTGGTGCAGGAGCCCCCGAGGGAGAAGCCGAGGAAAGTCAATTTTGTGACCGATATTAAAAACTTCGGGCTGTTCCACAGACGATCAAAACACCACGCTGCCGAGCAACATGCAAACCAAATCTTCTCCGTTTCGGAAGGGGTTGCTCGCCAACAAGCCGAAGGACCCCCGGAGAGAAATATCCCCCTGGAATCTCGAGGATTAGCTTCCCGGGGTGACCTGAACATCCCCGGGCTCAGCGAACAGTGTATATTAGTAGATCATCGAGAGAGAAGCACGGACTCCCTGGGTTTACAGGCAAGCAGGGCAGTGGGTTCATTCGAGTCGGATAAGGTGGTGGTGGAGGACACGGTTCCGATCATACCAAAGGAGAAGCACGCGAAGGACAAGGACTCGAGTCTAGACTACGAGGCCACAGACACGGTCACCCACGAGGATTATGTGACCACAAGACTGTGAACCTGGAAGGAGGAAGCGTTTATCATCCACAACGCACATTTTCCATAGTGCTTTGGGTGTGTGTGTACGGGGTGGGGGGAGATGTTTAAAAGTAAATCAGCCAATGCTAACTTACACTTCATAGCATTTATCAGCCGTGGTATATTAACGTGTGATGTTTAAATCAAGCAAAGGCTATCGACAACCCTTGTTTGTAGCCCGCTTTTGCTTTCACAATTTGTTTTACTTTTTTTTTTTTGGTTAATAAATAAACACACCTTGTATTCCTGTACTGTTGCAATAACCCACAGGAACTTTTTAGCTCTCTTTTTCAATTAAACAAATGCAACTTATTACATGTGGTAGAGGACTCCTATCATAAGTTTTTTATATGCAAAAAAAATGTAGCTGAAATATTAGAGCTTTTCATAATTTTTTAGGGTCTCTAGGGATGGTTGCACCTTCAGTTACTTTTCATTCAGCCCTACAGTTTGGCTTTAAAACCCAGATGTTATCCAATTATTTCTTAAGAGCATGTAAATAATTACTGTGCACAATCAAAGCGAGCAAGCCTCCTCTCACCAAGCCCAGATCAAACTCTTGAAATGGAAGCCAAGGATACTTTCTAGAGTTTTAGGTTGCCCGGTTTTCCTTTCAGTAAGTAAAAGAAATGTTTGTGTTAATCAATGTTGATGACTGACGATTTGTTAATGATATTTGGTCAGAAAAATTTTCCACTTCAAGTTTTTTTAATGCCTTTTTCCCGATTCATCTGCAAATCAGTTTAAGTATGTGGCTTTGTGGGTAAGTGAATTTCCAAAATGTGGCATAAGTTCTCAGCCCTAGAAAAAAGTAACAATAAATTAGAATAGTTTAAGCATCTTCAACAAAGCAAGATGACTGCACGTTCATAGTATCCAGGTGAAAATGAATTCATTCTAACAGTCTAAATCTAAGCAAAGTTAAATTCTGTTTTCAATCAGTGCAATATTGTTATAATTCAAAAGAAGTACAAACTCCTAGTAGTCTCTTCTTCCTCCCAGTGACTGGTATATATTTATTTAAAATTGAAATCACCCCCAAATTAATATTAATTTTAGCAGTAGGTGTAGACATACAGTTTCCCCCATGGAAACAACATTCTTAATTGCTTGTTTCTTCTCTTGCTTACAAAGTAATTCAGCTTATATTATACTCATTCATTGGATCACTGAAAAGGAAGTGTTTTCATCGGATACGAAAAAGGTACTGGCAACTCCTTAAAATTTAAATTATGTGACCTGTGTCTCTTTAAGCCATCACGGAAATAGAAGTTTCCTCACCGCACGCAATTAGCATTTCTTTCAAATCAATAGAAACACGCAGAGTTCATTATACTTCAAAAATTACCTCCATGGACTAGACAAATCATATATGATTTAGCATTGACCAAGGACTACATCGTAGGACAAAACCCAGTTTCTGGTAACCACACATCAAATACAAAGCTGCACAGCAGCAGCGATGCCAGCCCATGTTGTACGCGCTATGCGTGTGTTAACACACAGGTACTGCTCGTGACAGCCCTCAGAAGTAGCTACTCTTGTCACCACTTCCTCAGACGAGGAAATGGAAGAAGCACTAACTCTGCTGAGGTGCACAGCTAGTGATGAAGCCCTGAGGAGTCCTTCCAGGTCCTGCCCTTCACCACTTCCCTGCACCGCCTCGCACGGCGCAAAGACCAAGCAAAACAATGTGCACAGATAAGGGTTACTACTACCACTTCTGAAATGCTATATCTTGAGAGAGAATGAGTTTGGTAAAGTCCATAAATTCATGTCCTTCTTGTAAGCAAAAGATTGAGCAAGATTAAAGATGTCATGGATTTGATTCTTTAGATTTAACTGCATTACAGAAGTTAGGATATATTTTTTTAAAAATATATTTGTTATGGGATATCAGAATTCAACTTGGAAGTTTAGAGTTTTCGGGGAAGCCAGAGGCACTGAGATACTGCTCATTCTTAAATCTGGATTTTGTCCTAGGGATTTAAGAACGAGGCAGGGAGTTTTAGAGAAACCCAATAAGCTTAATGAATGTTCTTACTGCTTTGAGAACACCTTGCTCCCAAGTATGTTGGGGCTCAGAATAAGCCCTCGGAGATAGTGAAATACCTGAGTTCTTCTAAGTCAGACCTACAGTAGTTGGGAAATTGTAGTCCTAGTCTCAATCCTTGGGGTGTTTTTCAGTGATTCCTTTTTTGCTGTCTCTGTTGTGTGTGTGTGTGTGCGTGTGTGTGTGTGTGTGTGTGTTTCCCCGCGCCTCGCAGCCGCAGTGAAGATCACATACATCACCATGATACATACTTTGTCAGAATTTAGTACCAGATTTCCTCTGTTCCTTTAAATACCACCACCAACAATAAAAGCGCCCTTAAATTTTTCCCAGTAGCTTGTTTATATCAGAGGTTAGGGTGCCGATGTTTTACAGGTGAACATGGTGATAATTACAGGGATTTATTCGGCGCAGGTAACATTCCGCTTTTCAGTGCTCTGGAAATGATGGTTTCTAACACCCCGCAGACGTCACTGATAGAGGCATTTATGACTTTAAACAAACTACTGGGTATTGATTGTACTGGATATCCTAGAATTGAGTATTACTCTAAATCTGTAGTGATATTGGGTAGTGTTGATGAAGAAGAACAGTAGGGAAAGAATAAGAAAACATAAAACAGTAGCAGGTTTGCAAAGTAAAGAGGGTTTTGAGGTTTTTTAAATGAGTAATTTGCAGTTTCTTTTCATTTTTATTCATATTTCTGGCACCAGAAGTTCCTCAACACAAGAGCGAGGTAGGACATCACACTTGGACTCATAATTAATGCTGCTTGTGTTTCCTGCCCTCTTGATTTTCTTGTTGCTCACCTTTATTTATTTACTTATTGCCAGGGTTGGGTGGAAGAGGATCTAGAAAATTCAGTGTAACCTCCACAGAATTAGGTTCAATTCACAACACTTCACTTATCATAGATATGTTTTGGAAAACCCATTGACAAGAAAGAATGTTATAAAGATGTACCTCATCGTTTGTGATTGATGTATTCCTGCAAATATCTTTGTAAATAAATCTGTATTAACTCCAGTAGGGAACTGGCTATGTCAAAAAAAAAAAAAAAAGAATGGTGGTGAATTATTTTGTAAAATGAAGAAATATTTTTCAAAGTGATAATCATCCTCAGAATGTAACTGTTAGGTAAGTCGGATATTTGTATATCAAAATTTCTTAAATTAGGTATTTTATTTACAGGCTGTCAATTAAAATACTGCAAAAGTATACTCACTTTCTTGCCTTGACCTGGATAGCAACTTGATGTACTTTAGTAATTAAGCACACAAACCCAAACAATGAAATTTCTCGGGTAACTGTTGGAATAGAAAGAAAAATTTGATGAAGATTTAAGGGTGGTAAACTTATTATTTTCAAAGAAGCAGCCAATTTCCCAGGCTTTCCAGCCAATGGGGGAGGAATATAGGTGACCAGTGGTATAAAAATGCACCCTCCCACTGTTCAACAATCCTTAGTAATTTTGCCATTTACTTGAGTGAATGATTGTCCAGTCCCATGTCTTTCTGTTGAAGAGCAGACATCGAGCCTTGAAATCCATTCATTCTTAGTTATTTGTGCATTGCGTTTGTAGCAGAACCTTCTACAGTTTAGACATCTGCCGATTTAAACAGCTTAAGTAGTACCCCTAAAAATCAGCCTAGCAAAAACCATCCACGTGTCTCTATAAAAATGTTTACAATGACTCAGATTTAAAAACCTTTTTTATTGACGGACAGCTGATTTACAATGTTGTGTTAGTTTCAGACGTACAGCAAAGTGATTCAGTTATACATGTGTATATAATATATACATATATTCTTTTTCAGGTTCTTTTCCATTACAGGTTATTACAAGATATTAAATATAGTTGCCTCTGCTATATAGTAGGTCCTTGTTGTTTATCTCTTTTATATATAGTAGTGTGTATATGTTATTCCCAAATTCAAATTTGAAAAAGCCAAATTTATGATTATATTTCACCATTTTGAAAATTATTTCTTCAGTTTAGCTGTATTTTTTTTTCTTCTGGTTTTTTATTCTCCAAAATTCAGAACTCTCAGTAACCATAGAATTTAAAATTTAATATACCTGGCAGTCTTCTTAAATTTAACCTCAAAAATATTATTCTAATTATTTCACAATATATTACAATGTATTTTGTTTATATAGTGCTATCACATGATTTTTCAAAATTTAAAAAACCATATTAAATATTATTTCTCCATATGTAACTGGAGAAACTAAGGCTCAGGGCATTTATGACAATTTCCATATCTACCCAACTACTCAGTAGTTGAGTTGGAGCTTAAAGAAAAAAAATCTCTTTATCTAGATATTCTGACAAGACACAAGGTCATAAAAGTCTTGGCCAATGAATTCTTATTTTTGTGGAATTTTGTCTTCTTTGCTGTCTCTTTCACTAGAAAATAATCATAGTTGTTAAAATTTTCCACAGCTAAAATTTAGAACTAATATCATATTACCTTTTTTTCTCTACAAACTTGTGTTCACAGATTTTTTTTAAGCTGATTTCCTACTGTTTTCTAAAAATACACTGTTCATTATTTTCACTTCAACCTGTAGGTTTCGTGACAATTCTATATGCACATGGGTAATAATAAACCATATTAACTAACATTAAAGCTTTTTAACTGCAAAATGATAGAGCTGGAAACTAGGAAGTTAAACCAACACTGAGGCCATGGGACCAGGGCTGGCTGTGGCCATGCTGTCCTTGAGCTGATGCAC